ATGGTGAGCCTATTTGGAAGTGGCATATCTTCTGGGGCCTGGCTGAAATTGCTTGGCTCAAGCCCGATCAATGCACGTGCTTTAAAACTGGTGCCCAAGTGGCATATGTTTATCATAGCCGTGCCTAGCAAAACACCCTGTGTGTTCGCTGTGTAGTAGCTTTGGACATTGGAGGATGAAGCGGACTGTATGTCTTGAATTGGGTTTGGAATGGAAGGAACTGTTGCAGAGGGCTCTGGATGTGGGTTACCACGGTGCAGAAGCGTGTGGTGGCGACGTTTGCACGTAAAACAATTATGTTGACTCGTGCAATCTTTGATTTGGTGCCCTCTAGCGAAGCAGTTCATACACAACTTTTGTTGCTTTATGTAGTTGGCTCTATCATGAGCAGACATTTTGAGAAAGCGTGGACACTGACGCACAGGATGGTTTTCTTTCGAGCAAAGGTTGCATGTGCGCGTTTTGACGCTGACCCTTGCCTCAAAGGAGTTGACCTTTTTCGAGTTTTTCTCCCTTTTATCGTGCCGGGAAAGCACTTGCATGGAGGTATTCGCGTTCTCCATCGCTTCGAGTGACAAATATCGCTCACTCAGGAATTTATTCATGGCTGGCCATGACGGAATTTCGCTTTTGCTGGGAAGAGACTGCTCCCAAAGCGACAAGGTGACTTGAGGCAATTTTGAGGAAACAAGGAATACCAGCACTCCATCAGCAAAGCGGTTATCAATGGGAACGTCGGAGTGTTCAAGGGCCGTGAGGCATCCTTGAATAGCACCTTGGAGCTCCTTTAAAGCAGCTCCCGATTCATTTTGGATAGGGGAAAAGCTGAACAGGATCCTCAGCTGGCTATTAACAAGAGTTCTCTTATTCTCGAACCGCTCTTTTAGGGAGTTCCACGCGGAGTCGAAACCCTCATTCGTGAGCGGAGCCTTTTCCACGATGTCCTTGGCCTCCCCGCGAGTTTTGTGGCAGAGGTGATACAATTTCTCCACCTTGGTCAGCCTTGGATTATTTGTATAAATGGCGGAAAATAGATCTCGGAACGTAGGCCATTTTAGATAATCGCCATTGAAAGTTTCGATTTCGATTGGGGGAAGACGACTGAAACCACCTTGCTGAGAGATAGGGGCCGCTAAAGGAATGGGAGTCGATGCGTTTTCGACTTGCTCTTGTAAGTTTGTTGCGCATCTCTCGTACACCGAATAGCAATGCTCGTATTTTGCCTGCATGGCTTGCATCGCTTCACTGTCGGGCTCAGTTTGGTTAAGAACCTTGGTGCAGAGTTCACACTCTAGCCGCACCTTTTCCCATAATGTTTTTACCTCGTCCAGACGGATCTTTAGCGAAAACAGAGAAACTTCCACGGAGGATGGAGTATTGATTCGGGCCTCGAATTTGCTGAGACGGTCCGATGCCGCGGTAAAATCGTTTAACGCTGTTTTCTTGGACTCAGCCATTTTTTGTCCTACGTTGCGAGTAACCCGTGACTCTGGATTATTTTGAGATTTTGAAGAGGAAGGAAGAGGGTTGGTTTCTTTCTTTGTCGAACCTGAAAGGACCCTTTCGACGGATGACGCTGGAGTTTTTGGACTCGGCGACGGTCGAGAGCTTGGAACTGTGAGACGTTTCTTAGCGTCGCGATCGCTGGACATAATAAGCTCTCCCGGAGCTGTGTATGAGAGTGGAACGACGGAACGGAAATGATAGCTTCAGGTGGTCGACAGATTTAGCTTGGCACCCCCGTAAATATCTTTAATTAACGAAATGTTGGAACGATGGAATGGAACACTGACTGTTCGTGTGGAAAATTTTGGTAATGGCACAACACAATTCAAAATAAAAAATAATTTTATTTTTATATATATATTGGTTAGGGTTTTTTTTTCGGAATGCTGGAATGGAATCTGCAGTAAATAGCTTGTTCACTTTTGGGGTTTTATTTTTTTTTATAAAAAAAAAAATTATATAGTAATATTTATTTTTTTTCGGAAAATAATCCAAGTGTTTAACACTCGCTAAAAAGAGTATACCCGCCGTTCGCGGGGTATCAACTTCTGATACACACAACGGATTACGCAGCCGCTCTCAGCTATGCTTGTATGTACGTATGTATGTTCGGAGTTGGACACGACGAATTTTTTTTCGTTTTTATTTGCAGATAATTTGTGTTTTGTTAAGTTCCGCTTACGGATTTCATTGCATACGCTAGATTTATTGGATATGGCATGCAATTAAATTGTATAAGATAGATTTTATTGGAACTATTCATGTAAACGCATGCAAAACATTAAGTTAAATATATATGTATATGAAGAGAAAGATTACACAAACGGAATGTATCTTTTTTTTGGGAGGTTTTTCTGTGTGTGGTTTTTTGTTAAACTGTGAGTAATATATGTGTAAAGCAAGAGGAAAAAATAAGTGCAGGAAAAGACAAGTACATATGAGCGTATGTATGTATTATGTGCAAGTCGGTGTTCGATGCCTTATATTCGATCCAAGGTGTTCGATGCAGTATGTTCGCGAAGGGGAAAAACTTGGAGAGTTCGTGCATGTGTATATTTCTCGGTTCGCTGCCCTCGTAGAGTTTTTGGCACCAGAAATCGGAGAGGTTATACATACATATATATGTACGTATGTACATATGCGTATGGAAAAAATGGCGGATATATTCTCTTCGTTCTTTCTCTTCTCTAAACCGTATTTTACTTGCACTTTTCTTTGAAATTTTTTACACACAACACAGACCTCTACCCAATTTAATGAACTTTTGGAAGATTTCGTTACTTAGCTGGTTTTGGTTCTCAAGAGCTAGCTGGGGCGAGCGGATTGGGGGGAGGATTCTCCTTGATCTTCTTGAAGATCCACAAAAAGGATATATCCGGCTCGAAGGACCACTGATTGTAGTGGGAGATCCTTGCCTGCTTGTCTCTTCCTTCAGTTCTTTTGGATCGTGGGATTTAGGTGCCCAAACAAAATCAAAAAGAAGATGTAAGAATTTTCCGGAAAGTATGCGCGTGCGCGTTGTTCTTTATTCAAAGGTCTGATTTCAACTAACTCCAAATGATTAAGCTTAGATCTAATGAGCAATGAAGAGGCCGCTCCAAAAGCTTTCATGCTTCGGGAGCATAAGCTTACAGCCTATTGGCTGCATCGGTGCCTACTTTTCGGCTTAAACATAGGCAAAGGACGACATTTTCCCTTCAGCAACAACAGCCTGGCTCCTATTTAGCAGATAGGATGATAGCAACCGTACTGCAGAGTCAGAGAAGTTGTAGGATTCGCGAAGCTTTGCGATGAGGATGCGATGGTCAACTGAGTCAAAAGCTTTAGTGTAGTCAAGAAGAGTTAGGAACGTTACATTTCCGGCGTCTATTCTTTCACGGATATCCTCTACAATTTTTATCATTGCAGTTGTGCAACTTCTATTTGTTCTGAATCCAGATTGATTGTTGTTTAGTAATGTGTGCTCTGTAAGAAATGAATTTATTTGTTTAGCTACCAAGGTCTCGAACGCTTCTGACAGGGTCGGGAGTATGGATATTGGCCTATATTCTGCAGAGTTTGCTTTTGGGATAGGGATTATTTTAGCCTCCTTCTACTTTTCCGGGAACGTTGATGGAACGTGGTAATGGCTGTGTTGAAAATGTGAGTAACGTGCATGATGATTCTAGGGAGAATTATTCTCAAAAATTTCGGGTTCATATCGTCTAGGCCAGTAGCATTTGATTTAATCTTAAGAATGGATTCTAGAACATCACAAGGACTAACACAACAGAAACTAAAGATCGGAAGCTAGGGCGGTGATGTCAAGTTCAGGGTTGGTGGTGGGTCCGGTACAACTAATTGCAAAATTTTGTTGCTAACTTCATTTACGTCCATGTCAACTAGTGAGTTTCTTGTTTTTTTGCCAATTCCTATACTTTTAATCACTTGCCATTTCTGCTTGCTACACAGAGCGTTGTTAAACTTCGACGAGTAGAAGGCGGTCTTAGCAGAGTATATTAGTTTAGTTACGTCTGATCTTAATGATTTGTACATATTAAAGTGGCTTTCAGTCTTATATCTTTTAAATTTTTTAAAAGCCTCATTTCGTTTGATGTTACCCAGCTTTATCTCCGGGTTGAACCATGAGTTATCTGTTCGTTTGACTGTCTTTCTCTTAATAGGTACATGTTCACAGTAAAGATAGTCAATGTTTGACTGAAGTTGGGCAGGCTGAGAATTTACAGACAACATATAATGTATTGATGTCCAGTCAAGGATGCTAATGTCAGTGTGTAGTTTTTCAAGGTCAATGTTCTTGAAGTCTCTGTAAAAGGTGTCATACAGCCTCAGCTTTAAGCAAGCCGGTCGTGTTTCTGCATCACTCTCGCATTTTTCGCCTAATCAAAAAAGAAAAAAGGAACTTATAAACTGTAATTAATTCAATTTGGTCTTAAGTATCGGAGTTACACACATATTCATATTTTATAAAGCTTATGTATACTCAGTGTTTTAAATTGATTTATTAACTTATAATTTTTCTGTGGCTACCGAACAAACATACATACATACATACATCTAACAGTGGAGCGTTGCATTGCATTGTTTTTGTTTAGACAATTGTTATTTCTATTCGATCAGTTGCTTTGCTTTGGTTTGACTCATCGACTCATTGCTCTTTGGCACTCACCGTTCTCGCGCATAATCCGTTGCACTGCCTACTCACTCTCTGGATTTCACGCGAGCTGCACTCTGGCTCTCACTCTCACCATACGACGCCTGCATTCTTCGTTTATGGACTAATATCTCGGCGCCTCTGCTTTGCTTTATTGGAGTTCGCCGTTAGCTTTTGTCACTTCGCTGCGCCGTCTGCCCTGTATATATGTACATACATACGTACATACATAACAGCTGATCATCGTGCTCTTTCTGCTGCTGCTGCTGCTGCCTGGTCTCTCATCTAGCTTGTCCTCTCAGTGCGTCTTTTTTCTCGCTGTGCACAACAGCTGTTGAAAATGGCTCTTATCTGCAGTGCAAAGAAATGCGAATTTGGTGGCACCATTAACGGTGATTCCTACCTCAGCTGCTGGCTTTGTGATAATTACGCTCATATAAAATGTGCTGGAGGTGGTCACTTTGGACGTCTTAATGACTTAATATCGAAACGCATGGGTCTTACTTGGTCATGTTTGGCCTGCAGGGAGATTGAGGCGGAAATGCGCACCTTTATGAGACAAACGAGGAATGGTTTCCAAGATGTTCGGAAGCAATTCAATGCTCTTAACGAGAAGTTCCTTACGTTGGAATCGCAATTTCTGGGCCTCAAACTCTTGAGCGAATCACCAAGGAGGAAAATACTGAACAACAACCTACTGCTTGTCTTACCTAGTGGAACGCCTGCCTCTCACCTACAGCCGATGGACTCATTTTCTACTCCTAGTGGCCAACCTTCACCGATGGATGTCCATCCGCCATCGGAGGATCCAGCCTTTCTCACGCCTAACAACATAGTAGTTGCCTCAAAAATCCATACCCCTGTCAATTTAACTTTGGACTCAGTTGCCAGTGATGGAATCCCTAACAGTAACCAGCTTCCAGTTGCAAATGATTTGCCGGTCTCTGTTACATTGAATGGTGATGGATCGGCAGCCTCTTCTAGCTCCTCAGCTCCCGCCCTGAGACTTTTAGGAGTAGCTCCACCAACTCGCTTTTCCGGTGTTCCACTCAGCGCGGTGGTCCCCCGCAAAGCAATCTTTGTCTCTCGTCTTATTCCCGAAGACACACCGGATGATGTCAAACTACATCTAAGCTCTTATCTTCAATCGCCGCCGGATAACTTTATTATAACTAAATTTAATTTTACACATAAGCGTAATATCTCATCTTTCAAAATTCTTCTTCCCGATTCTCTTGTATCCAAAGCTTTGGAGCCGGCTGCATGGCCTGAGCACACTATTATGCATGAATTTCTGCCTAGAGACTCTACCCAGAATCCTCGAGTTACTCTCCCTAAGATTTCAAAAAACTAAGGAACCATTTCTCGATCCAATATCAGAACGTACGCAGTCTTTTAGGTAAATTGTCTAAAATACATACGGACAGTGCCTCTTTTGAATTCGACGCTATCGCCATAACTGAAACCTGGCTTAACTCCTCTGTCTCCTATCACGAAATTCTCGTCCACAAGTTCACCACTTATAGAATGGATCGTCCATCATTCGCTGGTGGGGTTCTTATTGCAGTGTAAACGGCATTTGCATCCGAGCTGTTTCCATTCAACAACATCCATGGTATCGAATTCGTTGCAGTCAAAATCCGTATTGGAACAGCATATATCTTTTTGACCTGTTTTTATATCCCACCCAGATCTGATGCCGTTGTTTATTTGAACCACCTTTCTGCAATTCGATCTGTAGTTTCTGCTTTAGGCTGTGCTGATCAGATACTAGTTATGGGTGACTTCAACATCCCATCTCTATCTTGGCAACAGGATGATTCAAACATGTTGCTACCTGGAAGTCAACATGATTTCGTCGAGGGGGTAACTGACGTCTCGCTTGCCCAAATTAACTCTGTCAGAAATAATAGAGATAGACTGTTAGATCTCATCTTTGTCAGCGATGCCTCTCGTACAACGGTTTTAAGAGGCAATCCGATATCTTTTCCCGAAAATCCGCATCATCCTACTTTATCTGAATTTTTCGAGGTCTCTATTACTAACACCATTTTACCTTCAAAAAGTCGTATACATGTTTTCGCAAAACTAATTTTATCGATCTTTGTCTACATCTCTCGCAAGTTGATTGGTCCTTTCTTCAGTCCTCATATAGAGCCTACTGTCAATCGGTTTTACGAAACATTATACTCTGCCTTCGATACCTACGTCCCTGAAGTCACCGTATTTGTTTCCTCTAAGCCTCCATGGTTTTCCAATTATCTGTCTTACCTAAAAAATAAAAAATCTCGGCTCTACAAAAAGTACCAGATAACTGGTTCTTTGTCTGTCTTTGCTCAATATTCTTCGGTTCGCTCTCAATTTCTTACGGTCAATAAGAAATGTTATAACGTATATCTTTCCCAATGTGGCAAAAATTTCCGTAGTAATCCCAAAAAATTCTTTTCGTTCGTCAACTCAACGCAAGTCTAACGCGTTCCCTTCTTCCCTTCAGTTACAGTCTAAAACAGAAACTTCAGAGCAAGGAATTGCAAATTTATTTGCCACCTTCTTTCAATCGACGTACTCCTCGGATACTTATGACTCCTCCACCCCTTATCCATATCATCTACCTCATTTTAATTCCTTCCCTTCCTTGATGAAAGTACAGTCTTCGAAGGGTTGTCATCAATTGACGTCTGTTTCTCTGCGGGTCCAGATAAAGTTCCGAGCTGTATTTTAAAATACTGCGCTCAAGCCCTATCTCATCCTTTGATCTTCTTATTTAATTTATCCCTGGAGCATTCTCGCCTCCCCATGATCTGGAATGAATCCTACCTTATTCCTCTTCACAAGAAAGAGTCCAGATCTAATATCGAAAATTATCGTGGTATTGCTAAACTATCTGCCATTCCGAAGTTGCTCGAGCACCTTGTTACTCGTCAATTGCAACACGCATGTTCTAGCATTAGATCCCAGACGCAACATGGTTTTTTTAGACATCAATCAACATCTACTAACCTTTTAGAATTCTCGTCTCTAATCAACCGAGGATTTCAAAGTGGCTTGCAGACTGACGTAATTTTTACAGATTTCAGTAAAGCTTTTGATTCTGTTAATCATACTTTGCTGATCCATAAACTCTCTTTATTAGGTTTTCCCACAAATCTTGTAAATTGGATATCATCGTACTTGTCGAATCGCACATAGCGTGTTTTGTTTAACAATGACTTGTCGAATGTTGTGAAAGTAACCTCTGGAGTTCCACAAGGAAGTCATTTAGGTCCGCTTCTTTTCAATTTGTTTGTGAACGACCTGCCCCAAGTTATTTTGCACTCAGTTACTTTAATGTATGCCGATGACGTTAAAATTTGTTTTTCCTTTTCCGACTGGTACTTGCATACTCGCCTACAACTTGACCTTGATGAATTAAGCATTTGGTGTTCAAATAACCTACTTTTCTTAAACCATTCTAAGTGCAAACTTATGACTTTTCACCGTCGTGCACCACATTTGGTCTCCTATTCTCTAGGACACCATGTTCTGGATCGAATCTCCACATCAAATGACTTAGGAGTCCTTTTCGATCACAAGCTATGTTTTAATAGCCATATTGCTTCAACTGTTAAAGCTATGTGAGTTCTAGCGTTTATTAAGCGTTGGTCAAAAGAGTTTGACGATTCGTATATAACTAAAGCACTGCACGTCTCGTTGGTTCGCCCGATATTGGAGTATTGTTCTTGTGTGTGGAGTCCACAATACAAGGAGCAACAAATTATTATTGAATCCGTTCAAAAACAATTTTTAATATTCGCCCTTAGACATCTAAACTGGGACTCTAACAGACTCCTTCCAGCATACCTATCTAGGCTAAAACTAATGAACCTACCCTCTTTACACCATCGCAGAATTTGCAATGGCGTGGTATTCATGCATAAGCTCATTCTCGGGATTGTGAACTCCCAAACGCTTTTGGGACGAATCGATTTTTCGGTTCCCTCCAGACCAACCCGTACTTTCCGCCCCATCCGATTATCCATATGTAGATCTAATTACTCCCAGCATGAACCTTTCCGGGTTTTATGCAATAATTATAATTACTTGTACCATTTAATATCCCCCGAATTATCCCTTGAAAAAATTATATTTAACATTTATCATTACCTTAGTTTAGAAAATGTGTAAATTGTATCTTTCCTTTCTCTCTTGTACATATATAATTAGTTTGTTTTTTATTCCTATTCCATAAATAAATAAATAAATAATTATCGTAGTCAGGATTAAAATCATAGGTCAAGAAAATAAGGTCATGTTTTGAATACCCTGGTGCTGTGAGTTGGTCATATAGTAGAATTTTGTCAGTACTGTCGACAAAGAATAGGTCTAGTAGTGTGTTTCTTGTTTTTGTAAAGTGTGTGGGGAGCTGGTGGTTCACTATATTTAAGTCAAGGCTCAACATTCTATCTGCTAATGAGGATTCTCTAAGAATATCACAATTAAAGTCACCTGCTCGGATTACGTCTGTATAAGTCAAGGAAATGTCAGTAATAAGTGATGTCAGGTCTGAGTAGTCAATGTTTCGATTTGGTCGATATATGCAACCAAGAAGCATCTTTCTTCTATTGATGGTGATCGTTAGAAATATGTATTCTATGGCACTATCTGGTCGTTGCTTACAGAGGATTTTTGCGGATATCTTGTTATTTATATATATTGCAACGCCCCCGGCATGCCCTAAACGATCAGAACGAAATACATTGTATCCTCTACATTCAATTAACGAGTCACTTAAGTCAGGGACAAACCAAGTCTCGGACACACATATAACATCCACACCAGAGTCGATAAACATATGTCTGAATTCGTCAATTTTTTTTGTCAAGCTTTGTGATATGGCATGGCAGATATGATATGGCAGATTTACAGATCCGATTTTTGCTTCACCTGAATTCTGAGGACCTGAGATATATTCACATTTGTTATTTCTAATGAACCGTCCAGATCAAGTGTGTTTTAACACAACGAAAAATTTCATTACAGTAAGTACAGTTAAGGGGCCACTTTAAAATTAAATACAGGAAGGTGGTTAGATTGGTAATACTTATAGCTAACATGAAAAATTTGCCTATAGTTCTATTATTGACGAAACGAGCTATTCTCGTCTCCAGCTGCAGAGCTCTCAGTACCAGCTTGCATCTCTCTCAGATCCTCAATTTTGAGAACTTCCCAGATCTCACTTTATTGGGTCACTTTGACGTGAACCGTACCCCTGCGCGTAAACACGGATTCCAGCTTCCGATGCTTCACTATATTCACTATATTTAAGTCAAGGCTCAACATGCTATCTGCTAATGAGGATTCTCTAAGAATATCACAATTAAAGTCACCTGCTCGGATTACGTCTGTATAAGTTGTAACGAACCATGGTTCTAGCCATGGCTCGTCACAAACGGCGAAGGGTCAGCGCATCCACGCTGGCGGGAGACAATAACCAAACTGATATACACCGAGCTAGCGAACCATGGCTCTAGCCACGGTTCTCCACAAATAGCGGTGTGTCAGCACCCCGGAAATAAAATAGTCTTAAGCACACAATTAATTAAGAACTCTCGATCAACAACACCCCACCTCTTGAGACAATTGTGAAATCAGCAGCCTACAATGTCGCAATAAACCAAGCCGACACAATTTCGCAATAAGAGATATCATTGGCGTTATTTCACAATAAGTCAAGCTAGCATAAAAGTATCGAAACATCGACCCAAATTCAGATATCACCTCCGCGATGCAGAGTTAGCAAAAACTCATTTCTTTTGAAACCAAATACCCAATTCCCAACTGCACCTTCCGGGATGCAGCATCAGCAAAACCACTCACTAAAAATTGTCAACGAAGCACCAAGCTTCGGCCTAGTTACCACGCCCCACATTTATTGTCGTAATCATAAGTCAGCAAGAATTAATTATTTCCGGGTCTCAGGTGCGATCCCCAGCTGCATAAAAGGGCCAAGATCGGCCGAAAGAGGAGGCAGTCCATCAGCTTAAACACAAGACACTGTACTACGCAGTCCCTCAGTCACACACCCAAGACACTGTACTACACAGTCTCTCAGTCACACACCCAAGACACTGCACAAGGCAGTCCCTCAGTCACACACCCAAGACACTGTACTACGCAGTCCCTCAGTCACACACCCAAGACACTGCACTAGGCAGTCCCTCAGCCCAAACACAAGACACTGCACACCCCAGTCCAACGGCTCCAAGGCAAAGTAACAAGATCCGCAAGTAATCCATCGTACACAAACCCACAAAGAATTAAGTAATAAAAATAATAAACACCAGCAAAACCAAAAACCACGATTTTCTTGAAGTA